AATTGTCTATTTGACTAATCCTGTACTTAGAGTTAGATGACGTTCAAGCTCTGATGTGTTAAGAGCTTTTTACATGCTGGGAGGTAAACAGCGTGTCTGGGATATTCGGGCTTAGTACCAGGCAGCTTGAGTACTAATAGAACATAGACATCTTTCCTCGGGGGCCTGTTTACCTTACACAACCGCAGGCAGGAAGTAGTTCAAAGAACAGGAGCCGACTTCAAAGTTTAAGAGCAAGGAGTCCTTGAGGCGCTTCGGTGTTTGGACAGTCTCCGCCTCAGCCAAGGGGTTCTCACCTCTCCACGCGGGGTCCTAGGTCGTCTGTTTGGTCAGCTCGAGCAATAAGAAGGAGCCTCCCACTACCCCTCTCAACTGTGGCGATGACCCGAGCGGAGAGCGGGGGGGGGGGGACAGGTGGTGTGGGGGGCTTCCTGCAGTCGGGTGGTGTCAGCCTTGCTAATGGGAGACGTGGACACCACGAGGACATTCTGGGAAACTACCAGCAGATCAGATCGTCCTGCTGGAGGGGGGAGGGGAGGGGGCGAACATCTGTACATAGTCCATACGTGTGCGTGTTGATCCCGTGTTCACTCTGCTGAGCCAGACGAGCAAACCGAATCCAAGGAAACACCGGCGAGACGTTACCACGGAAACAAGGAGGCGCCTCGCCGCCACCAGAGGAAAGAACCAGATCTTCGTCCTCATGAGTTCAGCTGTAAGAGGAACGAAGAGGCTCCATCGCTAATCAACCCGGTGAAGCTCTCTGCTAGCATTAGCATTAGCATTAGCCTCAGCGCCGGTCGTCTCCCCACACGTTTGATCCGAGTGTCCCTGGAAGGCTTCTCCACCCAGATGGTGTTCACCTCCAGCCAATCGCATCTTAATCCCCCGTGATGTTGATTCTATAGAAACTTCCCTCCCAGACGCGTCCGAGCTGAATGTGAAGAAGGAAATCAGTAGATCAGGAGCTCATTTAACACCCGACCAGCTTTTTACCGTAACCAGGACGTACCGAGAGAAACACGCCCGAAATAAGCAGATTTTAATGAACCATAAAAATCACCACTGTGTTACTATTGTCATCTACCACATCTGATTGTCGTTTCTGTTTATCGGGGCAAAGAAATGAAAGCGACCCGTGGGTTCTTTGAGGGACGTCCCTGAGAAGATGGACGGGGGATCCAGGGTCCATGGCGCTCATCTCAAAGGCGCCAGCAGGCTTCATCTCCACCCGGAGGAGTCGGAACTGGACATCTGAACTTATTAAAGGTGATCCACACGTTTCTGGTGAAGGAATCTACTGCGGCTTCCAGAGCCTCAAGCCGGAGGTTTCTAATTAGTCCACCAGAGACCCCCCCTCACCCCCCTCACCCCCCTCACCCCCCATCTCCCGCTCATAACTCCACACTTCCTGTGCAAACTCATCTCTAACATGCCTCCGACTGGACTCGACTCGCCTGTCAGGCCGCGGCTCTTAATGAGCGATGACCTAATAAAGCGACCTCCACTGATGATGAGGAGGATGAGGAGGATGAAGAGGATGCCGTACCTCAGACTATTCGCCATATATTTATATTCATGTATTTATATTTATATGTACCGTACTTTCCTCCCCTTTTCCTGTCAGTCTCTCGGCGTGTTTGCCGTCGTCGACCCAGATACAAACCTACTGCCTGTCTGCACAAACGCTGCGCTCTGATTGGCTGGGAGGGATGATGGAGGAGGAGGAGGAGGAGGAGGAGGAGGGAGGTCTACATTCTGAAGAAGATGGGAATGTTTGTGCCATCAGAGTTTCCCAGTTGGTTTTCACACTTCTTTTGAACTCACATTAACCAAATCGTTACGATGAGCTTCCTGCCACACGGCGGGAAAATCGCTTGTGACGGACAGCTGCCGCGCTAATTCTGAGTGGAGGGCGAGAAAGGCGTGGCAACGGGAAGAGGAGAGTTACGACACGATGGTTCCCCCAAAGACGCCTTTGTGCTGAAATCGTTCTCCACTGAACCACTAAAACAACTATTCTGCTAAATGAGGCTTTTACAGAACGCCGCATGGCGACGTCGCCCATCCGGTTGATGACTGTGGTTTTTCACCCAGTGAACAGGAGGAGGAGGACGTAGAGACACCGTATAGGTCTCTGGTGTCAACCTGTCAATCAGCGTGTAGCCCCGCCCTAAAGCGTCCCCGGCTTCATGGCCGGTTTAACTATAAATATCCACAATTTAAAGAAGACAGACTTTAAGCAACTGGACAACTGTCAGCAACACACAGACACACACACACACAGACACACACCTCAGACGCGAGGGTGCGCTGGGAACCGGAGGGTTGTTGGTTCGAACCCCTGCTCCATGTCCCGTGTCGTAGAGTCCCTGAGCAGGACGCCCGACCCCTTAATGCATTTCACTGCCTCAGTGACAGAAAGTGAAATCTTCTTTTCCTGCAGCTGCTCAGCGTCCAGTGTTCAGATGCTCTGTGCGT